CATTCCATCGATAGGATGAGCAAAAACGAAATGAATCTTCCGCTGAAACGTGGAAATATACACTGCCACTTTTTGATTTGCTCATTCTATCGAGTGCGGCTTATCGGCTCTCTCTCTCTCTCTCTCTCTCTCTCCCACACACACACACACACACACACACACACACACACATACACACACACATTCCATTGATAGGATGAGCAAAAACGGAATGAATCTTCCGCTGAAACGTGGAAATATACACTGCCACTTTTTGAGCAAAATCGGAATGAATCGTTCGTGTGTGTGTGTGTGTGTGTGTGTTATGTGTGTGTGTGTGTGTGTGTGTGAGAGAGAGAGAGAGAGAGAGAGAGAGAGAGAGAGAGAGAGACGATAAGTCCCGACCTCGCGTGCGCACGCCCCGTCTCTTCACTCTCCTGGACGCCCGCGCCATCCCCCTCGGCACCCCCCCTTTCCAGGTGCAGGGCCGCATGCCACCCGGTCCGCTGCTGCTCCGCTCGTCCGCTGTCATCGACAGCGCGTGCGCGCGCCCCGCCCCTACCCGGTATCGCGTACTTCCAACCGGCGGGCCTCCGCTTCGCACCTCCCAGCGCCGCCACGAATTTCGTCGGTCCCTTGCGCCGTGTGCCGCCTCGCGCCTCCCGCTGCCCCTTCTTGACAGCGCGCGCGGACCTCCGGTGCTTCTTCCCCGCCTGGTCCCGTCGCGTTTGCCCGCCGTGCCGTTTCGCCGGCCACTCCTCAGATCCCCGCCCGCTCCCTGCCATTCCTCCCGTCCCCTTTGGCCACTGGCATGGGCCCTGGGCCCCCAACACTGACGACGGGTGCTCGCGTGGGACCGTCACGCGAGACCCTCTATTTGCTTTGAGTATTAGAGAAAAAAAAAAAAAAGGTCCCATCTTCTATAGGGCATGGTATGAGAGCGCTGGTCCAGCCTCTCATCCAAATGAAAGCGCTTAGACCAATGTGTACGTGCGTGTTGATGTGTGTACGAAAACAACCACATCATGATAAGCGTTCCGTACCGTGAGAACTCCGGCATACTGCGTCAGCATGCATATATATCCCTGGCAAAGTGTCTAGCACAAGTGGGAGTTAAAAACTGGACGGCAGTGGACACCCAAAAAAAGACTGTAGCAATGAGCTCAGACTAGCCTCAGCGCTCATGTTTGGAAATTGGCATACAGTGCAATACACCCTTCGCTACACCATTCATGCATCTGTTCCATGATGATTTCATCCCTACCACCTTATTCCATGCCGCAAACAAACAAACATACTCAAATGCAAAGAAGCATGTGTGAACACTGAACAGTGCGTCCTCCTCATAGATATATACAAAGGTAAGCTGGAAATTGGAATACATACAGCAGAAGGGAGATACTAATATGCGAATTTAGTAATTTACTAATTTAAGTATGTGGTATGAGTTGCATCCAGGTGCGCGTAAGGTTGAACCGTTGAACAGGAAACGCTTGTTAGCAGGCAACAAGCAAGATACATCACAGTAATTTTTATTTTTTTTTGAAAATAAAAATACAGCTGTCTTCTCCTCATATGGGGGAAAGTTTGTATTTTCTGTCCTACGGTCTCCTACCCTATTTTCTTCTCTCTTACCTCGCTTCAGCTACTTGTATCTATACCTCACCTGCTAGCCCTATCTACCCTACAATGTATTCACCAGGCAACTGCTACAGAATCCAGAGCTAGGGATAGCTATCCTTATTCATCTATTCCTTTGGAGTAGACCTTCACAAAAATCCAAAACCAACCCAACAAACTTTTTTTTTAAGTGTTCAGTGTTCACACTTAAACATGCATGGCTTAGCTCATTTGAATATTTGCTACTACGACCCACCAAGATCTGCACCGCGACCCGCTTAACCTAGCAAGCCCCACACCCTCTTAGCATTGGGTAATTTACGTGCCTGCTGCCTTCCTTGGATGTGGTTGCCATCTCTCAGGCTCCAACCAAGCTTCTTCTTCTTCTTCTTCTTCTTCTTCTTCTTCTTTTTGAATCAGGGAAGAATCCAGGAAGACCAAGCAAGTTGATAAAGCACACTATTCTGTTATGCTGCTTATGCAATATGTTTACTATGCGAAAAGTCGATTGGAATTTGATCCGGCTTCAGCTTTAAGGCTTTGTTTGTCAAAAAGGGAGGTAACATGTGTGCTTTGAACGAGGCGGAACACGCGAGAACCCATGGAATCTGTTTTCTTACAGGTCCGATTCAATAAGCAAGCGGAAGGGTGAGCAGATAAAGATTACGCAGAAAGCATATAAAGATTACAGTTCCCATGACGGCAGAAACTTGTATCAGCATAATCAGCATGACAAAAATGATAGCACACTTGACACAAGTACACAGAATATGAGCAGTCCGTACATCAGATTATATTGGCCATCATCTTAACCCAGGGGAGAAGCTCCATTGAGCTTTGCCTGTTTGAGTGAACGATGAAGGATTCGGATGAGGAGCAAGGGGAAGGAGGAA